AGCTCCTTTGAGATGAGGCAATAAACTCTGAGGAGAGGCGTTTGCCACCTGCTAACTTAAAAGGTATGGGGAGAGGTGCCGAGGTGAAATGAGTCCAAAATAACAAAGCCCCAGTTCTCCTGGGCAGTTAACAATTTGCTCTAGTTAAATCTAATCCACTGAGAGATGAGAGAAATACAGGGATTGTCAGCTTGGGTCAGTGTTAATGAGGGAAATAAAATGATGAGACATACTTTAAATCCCACTGAAGGGATCAGCAAACTCCTTTCATCACTTTGAGATAGACAGCGCAAGAAGTTCTTTATAATTAACTTAATTCATAATTAACCTGGAATAGAGGTGCTTCCCTCTTAATGTAGGGAAAACTGAAATCAGGAAACCCTCTGGGATAAAACTGCTGTAGTGACATGTGGCCATGCAACCCCAGCTGGCATCCCGGGTGGACTGGACCTTCAGTCCTTCTTCCTGGCACAAATTTCCCTCTGAAGCAGTGCTTTGGGAGGCTCAGTGCCTGCAGGCTTTGGGAGAGCCTCTCAACATCCTGCCAAGTTGGACTGTGGCTCCAGAGTCATCCTTTGTCTTTCAGGAGCAGGCTAAGGATTTTTTTGGGGCGTCTGATTCTATTCCCCTGTTAGAATAGAATCCCCTGATTCTATTCTGTCTGCTCTCCAGACCAGCCCTGAAGTTCCCCCCACGGATAACATAGGGCTGGAAGATACCGTGGTGGTGAGAGCATTGTATTAGGCAGCCATGCAAAGGGCCGGCTAAGGATTTTTTTGGGGCGTCTGATTCTACTCCCCTGTGCTCTCCAGACCAGCCCTGAAGTTCCCCCCACGGATAACATAGGGCTGGAAGATACCGTGGTGGTGAGAGCATTGTATTAGGCAGCCATGCAAAGGACCTTTGGTGCACAATGGTCCAGAGAAACCGTGTGCGACAAAACTCTTTGGGGGGGTTATGACTACTCAAGCAAAAAGGCAGAAACTTCTCGGATGAGACAAACTAACATGTTACAAGAGAAACAGGAAGAATCAGACACATGAACAGAGGTAGCGGAGGATTGCTTAAGGTAAAGTCCCCAGATACTCTAAGAGGTAGAAAACAGCTCTGTGTGTGTATATATAATGTGTATATCTATTAGGCTATAACAGCATAATATTTAGGTCGCAAGAGTAACCAGGGACTATTGCTGAGACCAAGATCCCATCCAGACAGTATTGACACAAATATTCCCTAAAGACAGTGCAGGAGAAAGATGCTGTCTTTGCCTGATGAACTGAGAATGAATTTACAGAGACAAGAACAAATCTTCCCTAAAGAAAGCACAAAACCCCCCCTAACTTACAGCAAACTGTAAGCTTGAGCTCACACTAGAAAAGGGTGAGAAGTGTTTCTTGTCATTATTTTACCAGTATAATCCCTGCACTAGTGAAAATGAATTGGAGCTGTTTTTCTCCCTCCCTGGCCAGCCTAAGTGATTTGGGTGTGTGTTCCCACTGGTGTGATGGTTGAAGCAGTTGTGCCCTCCCAGGGAAGCACATGTACAGCACTGCTGTGCTGGAGCTGAGGCCAGATGCCATCTCCAAAGGAGGAGAAAGTTACTATTTGCTCTTTCAGCAAGAAGTGGGGCCTCTTTCTCAGCAACAGGATATGTAACATCAACAACTACCAGTCTGTGTGGGTTCAGTGCAAGACCAACCAGGCACAGATACTGAAGAGCCAGCAGTGCTGGCCTCTGCACCCTGTGTCACGCAGGCTAGAGAATATACCGTACTCCTTGAGTTAGCCAGCAGCAGAGATGTGTTCTCAGACCTTCCAAAAACAAGGGTGAGCCATTTCTAATGACAGGAGTGATTAGCCAGGGATATGACTTGCCAGGGGCTAGGGTGTATTTTCTCTCGTGGAAGATTAAAAAGAGTAACAATCAGCATGCTACATCCTTTTGGTATTTACTTTTTTCTAAAGCAAATGTGGGGCATTTCTAGGGAGTTACAAGAAAATCAGACTGGCCAGTTGTCTGGCTTCAGCCTGTGCAAATCAAGAGATGAATTAAGAGTTTGGGCTGGGGACCTGGTGCTGGGCAGGGCCCCAGGTCCTCAAGCAAGCCTGCAAGGCCGGGTGCTGGGAGGGCACGCTTGATTTTCCCCACAGGGGAAAATTCCTCTGGGCATCACCCTCTGGATGAGCAGGAGATGACTCCTCTCCCTGCCTCTGCCAGAGCTGCCTGGTGGGTGCAACGCTCTTCCCCAAAAGCATGTGAGAGAGCAGTAACTCCTGGAAATGGTAACAATAATGCTGTATGCACCCCAGCTACTCCCTCTCAGGGCCTGTACATATTGCAAACCCTTGCTACAAGCCAGGTAAAGCTAACTTGGGCTTTTCTCTGCATTCTGTCTCCTGCGCAGGGTTTCTTCTCAGAACATCACCTGCTGGTCCTGGGGTGCAAGAGCGGCTTGCACAGGGCAGCATCTCTCTCTGCACCACACCACCCCCCCAGGCCTTTGAAGCGCACCCTAATCCTCTGCCTGCCTGCTGTGAGCTTTGCGTTTTTCCTTAGGCACAAAGCTCCCATCCCAGGAAGCAGTGTGTCGGGGCCGAGTCCCTTCTCTGCAGGCAGTGCAAGGTGTTCCCTTCCTCATGTTGTGCAGAGGGGCTGGGGTCACCCTCGATGGAGTGGGGCTGGGAAGCGTGGCCTTTCTTTGCAGCTTGTCTCCCTCTACAAACTCTCTGAAAGGCAAGGAGACCCACTGGGGAATTTTCTCCCACTTCTTCCCACCGGAGGTTGCAAAAGGGAAGAGGTTCTTTCTTCTGCCTCCCCACCATTGGCTTTAATCCCTAGGAAAAAGGGAGGGCAGTTGGGTATCTCAGCATTGTAGTCTGAGAATAAACGCTTTACTGATTTCACAGGGTGCAAGACCATGAGTGTTTTAAATCAGGGGCAAGACCAAAGGGTTTGTTGTTAAACCAATGAGGCTGCCAGTGCAGAGCACTCAAGGAAAACAAATAGTGCAGTCTCCACGTATTATTAGAAAGGTATTTCTCTGTCTGAACAAAAGGGTCAGAGGAGGAGATTTCAGGCCAGAAAAGCAGCTCACGACAAATGTGCATTTCAGAAGGGGAGTTGGAGTGGCCAATGCTATGGCACTGCATGGCCCCAGCACCAGAACTCCCCTCACCAGCAGCTCTGTCTCCAGAAATGCTGCAGCACTGAAAGGAGGAGAAAAGTCTCCAGGGATTTCAGAGCTGAATGGAAAACAAATACAAAAACCCAACCGACCAAACAGAATTTGCTCAACCCCTCACACGTGGCAGTGAACAGGGGAACAACTGCACAGTAACTAAGGCACACAGAAAACAGGCGCCTAAAGCCTATCTATAACACGTGATCCCAGCTAACATCATGCTAGAGACTGGGGCAAACTTAAGGTGGAATTACTTGGGCTTTCTCCGAACTGTCCGTGGAGGGGCCTGTTCTCGGTAGCATTTGCTGACTGCACCAACTCTGCTCCTGCAGTTAACTCCCGATTTCAGCGTGGCTCTTGCTTATGCGTAGCATAGCCAGGGAGTGAGTTGGAGGCCAGAGCATGTGCAGGATTTTCCCTGTAGCACTTTCAGTCAGCATTTTGCCCTATTTATACACCCTAGTCACAGGGCTCCAATTCAGGCTTGTGACTTTCTAGTTCAAACGCAGCTTGGCTTTGATTCATCCAGAGTCATATGGGATGCTGAAATGCCACGTGAATGTTCAGAAATGGGTCTGGGGGAGATCTGGGGCAAAGGATGGTGTCAGGAGTCAGGATGCTGTTCATATAACAGCGAGCACGCTCTAATGAAAAGTTCCAGCAGCCTCCTGCAAGGCAGCATGTTTCCTCCCGCTACCCAGCCATAAATTCCTGCGCTGTTTCATAAGCTGCCCTGTGCAGCCCTTCCTGAAGTTATCTGCAGATAGGTATCTCACAGGCTAGTCATGGCTTAACCAACAAGTAGCGCACTGCATTTATTTAGCAGTTCTGACTGAAGTTTTACAAGTGGTATTGTGAAGCTGCATATCATTAATGTCACTTCGTGTATGAGGGAAACTGAGGCACGGAGGCCTGAGGACCCTGCTAAAGCCAATCCAAAGCTATAAGCAGCACCCAGCTGATCCAGTCACACAGACTCACAAAGCACCACAGCGGCTCCCACCTTCACCTCCCTGCAAAGACCCTCGGGGCAGTGATGCTGTGCACTTTTAAGGGATGTAGTAAAGGGGAAAAGCAGGCGTTAAGGACTAGCTGGGAAGGCAGCCTCCTTTCTTGCCGGCTGCACTCAGCCCTGTCTGGCCTCTTCCTCCGCTAACAAAGCATTTCTCTTTTCCCTCTGGAGTCTTTTGCAACTGGAATGGAACCAGCGAGATCACGCTACTTTTCAAAAGCTGCAGCCTGAATTCTCACATCTAGTAGTGCCCCACACAAACAACCTTAACTTTCAGGCACTTTTTAAATGCTGGCATAGAATACAACAAACCCTTCGGTTTCATTTAACTGCACGTAGTGATGATTTGTACCCAGGGGCTCCCCTCAGTCCAGGCTCCTTGCAGGCACGAGGCTGGGCTGGGAGGATGCGTATACACGTATTCTCAGAGGTAGTCACTTTGCAGCAGTAACATGAGGACTCCAACTCTGCTTTTAGACAGGGATCACTTAACAAAAAGCAGCCACCTAGCTGCAGGCACAGAGCCACACTCGAGCTCCCGGGATAAGAGCCAACATACACTGCATAGCAGCTAGAAGAGCTTACAGTAAGGATTTCTAGGATCACGCAGAAGCAAACAATCACTAGCTTTTAAAATCACACACATCCTGCCTGCAAAGAGCAGTATCAATAGAGATCTCCCGCTGCCCACTTTAAATGGCTGGGAAAGCTCCAGCCCCAAACAGCTGCAATTGATCCCCTTCTTCAACCCCCTCCATCATGTGATGGTCCTGCCCAAGTGATTTAAGCTGCGGGAGCCAAGAGCTGAGTCACGCTGGGTTGTGGAGCAAGGTGCTCGGGGGTGTCCTGTCTGGTGGGGCCGGTGTCTGCAGCATGGAGCAAGTGAGTGCCGCCTTCAAGCTGGACCGCTGTGCTGACCAGGACTAGGGTTTGCTTGTGTGTGGGTTTTGGGCTTGATGCCAGAGGTAGGAGGAGAAAAGGATTAGCTGAGAGGAAATGCTGGGCTGATCTATGGCTGTGGGAGGAATAGGTAGGGCTGACCAGCCGTTTTTCTTCTCCTCCTCTTATCTACCGTGTTATTTAAGTGGAGAAGCTGTTCTAAGGCATGTTTATATCTTTGAGTACTCTAAAGGTTTGGGACCATTTGCAACTCTAGAATTTGCATATCCTTTATACTTTTTTTTTCCTTAAACTTTGTATTTTCCTTCTGGAAAATTTGGGTACAGGACTGGGCTAACTCTTAATGCAACAGCAGAGGAAAGCAGGATGGCAGTGTGTTCTGACCTACCCCTGCCCCCCTAACTTTCCTTTCCTTGAAAGACCCCCAGGCACTGAGGCTGTGTTTCAGGCTGCTCTCCAGTGCTGTACTAGAAACAAAGCCAGAAAGCAGCATTAGTGCCATGACTATAAGCAGTTTAGTGACTGGGGGGAAATCTGACCTTAGCAGTCTGCTGTGGGCAGAGGAGGGAGTAGGCATGAGGACAAGCACCGTTGGGGCTGGGTGGCAGTCCTAAAGTCCCCAGGAGCAGCTGGCGTCGGCGTGGGCCTGCACAAGCCAGGCAAGGAGAACTAGCCCAAGTAAACAATACACCTAATTTTAAATTAGTCTCCCTGCCTTATCTGGGATGTGGTTAAGTGGAGTTCAGCATAGTTGCACCTGGGCCTGGAGCACAGGCAGCAAAGCATGATCTGAGTTATGCCTGACCTCACCAAACAGCATCTTCCTCTTAGCTGAGGGATGCTGGTGATGTTAACTGCTATTTTGGGGTATGCGGCTGGGGGAGTGAATAACCTGGCTCCAAGAAAAGGATCAAGCCCTTGTCTCTGCAGCAGGAGCTTCCCAGGGGGGTGTTTGTTCTGCTTTACTGGGCTGCAACCAGAAGTAGGCTCCACTGACCCCTCTCTCTGTATGTAGGCTGCTTTAAGTGAAGACAAGAAACTTTTCTGGTGGCTCCTGTTGCTTGGAGACCCACCTAGGGAAGGGGGACAGACCTAGTGTTAGAAAAGCTCCCTAACTAATGTTAATCCTATGCTAATGGCTCTGGCCACTGCTGACTTGAAAGCGCAAGCTTGCTTGCGAGGATGTCTTCTGCAGCAGCTGGTAAATCAGTGTCTCTACCCTACTCTTGTTACACTGGCTTGAATCGCCTCCTTGTCAGCTTATGTTGCTTAGTGGGGTGGTAGACCCCAATGGGGTGGTGGCTGTGAACGAGGATTCCCTGGCAGAGGGCTGACACAGGCAGCTGGCCTGACTCAATGCTTCCTCTAGCACAAAAACCACAAATGCGTTTGGGTCTGCCAGAGCTGGTTTGTGCCTTGGCCCAAGTACTGTTGGTAGGCTTGCCTTGGGACAGACTAACTTCTGTGGTTTGGCCCTGCAGGGACTGGTGGTTACTCAGCTGGACATCCAGCCTGGCGAGTGCATCAAGGTCAAAGGCAAGATCCTGTCTGATGCCAAAGGGTGAGTGAGAAGATGGTGAATAGATTGGTGTGGCACTGGGGGAAGCCTGAGCTCCTGCTGTGTGCTGACAAGCTGAACTGGGTATCTGGAGCTGCTGAGCAGGCTCCTCCTTTGCACTGCCTCTCTGTTTCCCCAGGTTTGCTGTGAATGTGGGGAAGGACAGCAGCACCCTCATGCTGCATTTCAACCCTCGCTTTGACTGCCATGGGGATGTCAACACCATTGTGTGCAACTCGAAGGAGGATGGCACGTGGGGTGAGGAGGACAGGAAGGCTAACTTTCCCTTCCAGCACGGTGACAAGATCGAGGTGAGGCCCTAGGGGTGTGTGCAAGGCCCTGGCACGGACCACTAATGGGCCAAGGGCACAGCTTTTTAATGCTGCCTTGCACTTCTGTGGTGGAGAAGGAGCAGGCATGGCAAGGGGACTAAGCAACAGGGGAAGCGTCTCGCAGCTAAAGCCAACCCGCTGTGTAGACCTGCTCTGCTCAAGTCAATGCCCAACAGCTCAGATGCGTTAAGTGCTCCACTCTGGCCTTCCTTTGCAAGCCACACAAGTAAGAGCAATTAAAACACTGACCTGAGATTCAGGCTGGGTCTGTCTCATCCCTTCGTTGCAGAAGCTTGGAGCTGCCCTTGGGCAGAGCAAATGAGCTTCCTTCCCTCCATGCCTCTGCTGGGCAGGGAGGAGGCTGAGCTAGTGAGCGTGGCCTTGACACCTGCAGCCACCTCATCTGTCCTGCCCGCAGACTGGAGGTAGTGGGGAGTGAGGCTTGTCAGCTGTGATGTGTTAGCCTTCCTTCTTGTGGCTCTCTACAGATTTGCATCTCCTTCAATGAAACAGAAGCAACGGTGAAGGTGCCTGAGGCGGAGTTCCAGTTCCCTAATCGGCTGGGTATGGAGAAGATTGAATACCTGGCTGTGGAGGGTGACTTTAAAGTCAAAGCCATTAAGTTCAGTGAATAGCTATAGCTTGGTTTGTTTTGTTCTCTCTCCCCTGCATAGTGAAATAAACCCAAACTTGCAATGGCTGCTTCCTCTGCTGTTTTCTGCTCTAATCTGCTTGCTCCTGTGTGTGCTACAGGGGTGGGCAGTGGGAAAGGGTATGTGTTTCTCTATGTGCCTACTTACACTGTGGCCTTGCAGCTGGTACTTACTTAGACCACATGCCAGGCAAAGCATGATTTACTGTGAATAAAGCTACCTTAGCAGTAGTTGCTCCCTTGACCCTGTTTGCTGCAGTGGGTGGTCCCTGGCTGTTTGGTTTTTCAACTCTGGGACTAGTCCCAGCCAGGGAAGCTCAAACAAGTGTATGTTGGGCATGCATTGTGCTATCTCTGACCAAGAAGTGCTGCTCATGTGTCCTTGCTGGGGATGGGGGACTGACAGGGAACAGGGCATGGCTTGTGCTCTTGCAAGTAGCTTTGCTTTCCAAGAACACGCTCAGCAGTTGGGTGCGTTGCAGGCTGGCGCAAATCTATTTAAGGAGTAGAGAAGAACAGGCAAGTCAGGCTATAACTGCACTTGCGAGGGGAAAAGACATGGAGTGTAAGGTGAAGCCTGACAGAAAGCTCAGGAGTGAGGTCTTGAGAGGATTCTGGCTGTCTATGCTCCTTCATGAACTGTGGTCTTGACGCTGTCAGAGACCCAGTATCATGTTGTACCATGAAGTCAGTGGCTTAGCAATATGGCGGGTATGGGTAACAAGCCATGTAGCAGCCTGTGGGTCAGTGTCTGTAACACTTGATGCTAAGCTCCAGATGCAGCCTGAGGGCTGTATCAGACGGGGTTACTAGAGGTACTAAATCCTGAGTGCACCAAGCACAACTAGCTGCAGTTAGGCAGATGGAAAAGAAAAAGCTTAGTAAACAGTCTGTTCTGCTTACAACCTCTTTGCTCGTGCGATGCCTTGGAGTGTTTCTGCTACTGCTATTCCCCAGCTGCCTGCTAGCCATGCTTACCCAAGACAGGGCTCGAGTTGGGACTGCTGCGGCATTTGAGGACCTGATGAAAGGTAAAGAAGTCCTGCCTGCTGTGGAGAGTTGGGAGCCTGGGCAGGCTGCCCAGGTTTGGGGGTTGGCTCTGTGGTTACTGAAACTAGAAGAGCGCTGCTCAGCTGGTAACTGACTGTGCCGGTGAGGTCTTACTTAGCCAAATGCTGCTGAAGTGGTGGAATTTGACTCTTGTTGGCTAATCTCTCTCAGCAGGGCTGTTCTAGACCAGGTCTGCATTTGCTGCTCCTTTGAATAGCTGAGCAGTTGGTCCAGCTGCTTGGGCAGGGGCAAGACCGCTCTGCAGAGTATTTCAGCTGTTTGAAGGCTTTTTATGGAGTGGCTGACAGGCTGCAAGCCTGTTGCCTTCATGTCAGCACAATTGCTGCGTGGCAGTAACACTGTCCAGATCTGTACTGCAGCAGCTGCCCCAGAGCTGGGCATCCCATGAGTGATGGGGGGATTTGCTTTGGGGGGTGGGCCCTCCTGCTTTACTGGTGTCCTTTTCTCTGTGCTGTCTGATAACCCTTGTTATGGAGGCCTTCTTGCAGCTCTGGCAGAAGGCCATGACTTGTAGCTGTCTCTTGCCAGTCACCCTGTGGGCACAGACATGGCGATTGGCAGGGCGCTTCCTTCTTCCTCTTTGCTCTCCAGAGCTGATGCAGTTAATGATAGCAAGGGACTCGGTGTGCAAACAAGCAGGAGGCTTTCTGGGCACCTGTCCCTCTGGTGAGGCAGGGGTGCCTGGGGAACACCAAAGGGCTCTGCTGCAGTGTCAAAGTTCAGCAAAAGTTTCCACTATGCACCTGCTGGGAGGGTGGGGAAGGAGTTGCTGTAATCATCTCCTGTGTGGGAGTAGGACAGAGATAGCACGCACCCTGCATGGCAGGAGCCTGGCCGTACTACAGGACTAACTCATTTGACACTGACAGGGGCGCAGATAATGGTGCTTGTAATTCCTGTCCTGCATATACTGGATTATTTACAGGATAGGATGTTAGTTTTTAGAGGATAGGATGTGTTTACTAGGCAAAGGATGAGACAAGTCTTGCTGATGCTTTGCCTTGTGAAGTAAGTCTTGATTTTTTTTTTTTGGAAGGCTATTTGTACTTGGTGTCGGGGTTGGGGAGAAGAGGATGGCTTTTGTCTTGTTTCCCCCCTCTATCCCTATGTTAACTATCTGACTGAAGGTGACCTAAATGATGAAGTGTACAAGCACTTAAAAAGTACAAGGCCCTTATGTTGCAGAGGCACAGGGGAGCTTACAGCTGGTCCCTCTGCTGTCTCTGTTCCTGGCTGCCCTGATTAGCTGAGGTTTATGTCTGTCAGCACTGACGAGTAAAGCTGATCTCATTTTTGCCTGTTAGGCTGGCAGTCCTGATTTCTAGGTAGGTTAGCCACAAGTGTTCCTGACCGCTATGCTCAGGGTACAAATAGTGCCTTCACAGGGGCCGCCCCCCTCTTCCACTTTCCACAACTGTTAATTAGGCTTGTCCTGCTTCCTAACACTGGCAGCTACCACTAAGGAGACCACAAAACAGGAGAAAGGGTAGGAAGGAAGCATGCCTTTGCCAGCACTTCCTGCCTCTTCAGTTTTGTTCTCCCATGTCCCAGAGCTATAAATACTCCTGTTCCTCTAAGCGACACTGGTAAACAGGCAGAGTAAATGCAGAGTGCCCTGGCTGGCTCCTAGAGTGATGATAAGACTTCTCTTCCGCTAGAGCGATCAGAAAAGCAAGAATGCTATGCCCTGCTGCAGGCAGGGTCACAGTGAATGTAAAAGCAGGGCTTGTCCCTGCCAAGTATGCTCTCCTGGAAGTGCACGGTGAACTCAGCTTGGCAGTATCTCCGGGAGGACCCTGAGCCCTGCTTGCTTTGGGGAGGAGCAGAAAGCACCACAGCATGGTCTAAGGGTGTGGGTTTCTTTTTTATTTCAATCCTGCAGTGTGTGTAGTCAGTCTTGCAGTCCAGCAACACGTCCTGACAGGAGCCAAGAGCCTACAGGAAGAATCTGCCCCTTGGTTGCCTGAACACTGAGGCTGAGGTGGGGGGGGAACAACACTGATCCCTGTTGAGAGGGATGCATCTGCTGAATCCTGTGAGTTTGCTAATCTGTACTCAGCCTCCATCCCTGGCTATTCACCAGGAATCAGAGCTGCACCACTTTATTTCATTACAGCATCATGGCGAGGGAAAATGGGACCTTGAAAATCTTGCAAAACAGCCGTGAGGCTTTCTGTTGTAACATGGAGATTTAGAGTGGATATTAGGAAAATTTCTTCAGGGTTGTCAAGCATTGGAACAGGCTGCCCAGGGAAGTGGTTGAGTCACCACCCCTGGAGGTATTTAAAAGATGTGTAGATGTGGTGCTTAGGGACATGGTTTAGTGGTGGGCTAAGGAGAGTTAGGTTAACGGTTCGACTCGATGATCTTAAGGCTTTTTTCCAACCTAAATGATTCTATGAACACAAATTAAATGATATATGTTACCTCCTCATGTCTAGGAAGAGGAGAACAAACACCCAGTTCCACAAGAGACTAGTTTGGAAACAGTAGATGTGGCAGGAATTAAAACCTCATGTAGGACCTAAAAGAGGAGTGATGGGTAAGACAGACCAGCAGCTTTGTCTTCACGAAAAATGACTTCTCCCTGAGCAGTTCACATTAACTTCATTTGACAGAAATAGGCTATCATCCAAGTGACTCTGCAGCTACATAAGCATGCATGTGACACTGTTCGTCACAGCTTCAAAAGATACTTGCAGGACACTGTGCACCCAGAAACTGTGCATGGTGTAAGTATGCACTGTGTGTGGAAGGAGAGTGCTGGGGTAAGCAGATGGGTGACCCAGGTTGCTGTCGGAAGCCAGCTGGGTAGCTTCCCACTGGAACTTACAAGCAAAAAAGGTGCAAAACAATTTCTTCCAAACAATAGACATAAGAAATTAACCGACATCTGTTGTCCAAAATGAAAAGGTGACCACCAGCTAGCCTTGCAGTGTGCTGACAGTCACATTCTTTGTCTCCTCACCTCCTGCTCCCTTGGCCCTAGTTTCAACATTTACAAACCGAAGGGAACTTCTGTCACATACTTTCAGAAAGCCAGCCTCAAACTGTATGCATTACCTGATAACTGGCCCCCCCCTTCTGGTGCAGAGCATAGGAAACCTTAACCACACAATTCCCCTTTCCTGTAGCGTGATGGAGGTCTGAGCACAAGGCTAGATGCTGCTGGTGTGGGATACCAGGCCCTTGGGGTCAGACCGGTACAGACCACGGTGAGCTGTCTGTAGACAGGAGCCAAGGGATGAGGGCAAGTCCTGCTACGTGACTGGGGGACACCACTGGGTTTGCACGCCATGCTGAGACCCCCTGGATACGTGCACCGTCGCATCCCTGCATGCTGGGGCCCTCCCTCTGAGGACACCCCTGTGGAAACCAAACCCCCAACACGCCTGTTTTCCAACAAACCGGGATATTTTTCCCCCTCAACCCCAAGCTGGCTGCTCCACAGCGGGTGCAAGCAGGGAAGCACAGGCTGCAAAGCCTTCCCACGTGAGGGAAGAAATGTATAAAAATATATATGTATGTACTCACCTTTTCTCAGCAGGCTTCAGGCTGAGGTGCGCATCCTCCTGCAGTGCCTTGTGTGGGGCTCCTGGCCGGCTGCCCCTGAGCCCTGCTGTCCCTCGTTAGCCTTGACTATGCCACAGGTGCTAACTGTAAAAACACACCTGGAGGGGTGGGCAGCAAGCCCTGCTATCATTTTTGGAGATTTTGGTGAGGGATGGGTTCCGGGGGGTGTCCTGCCATCCCCCCTGCTGCGCACTGCTCCCTTCGGCAGCATGCGGCAGCAACAGATGGTGAGGCAGTTGCAAAACCAGTTTGGAGAGCCAAGAGAAACTTCTTCAGAAAGCCACTTTCTCCTCCTAAACCTCCCGTGATGGCTTCTCATTTTCAAAATGCCATCCTTCTAAGCTTGCCTGAATCCTTTTTTTAATCACAATCTTATTTTAGCTCGGCAAAACACTTGTGGCACAACAAGCTGTGCAACAGCAGGTCCCTCGTAAGCCGTTTCCTCAGAATTTGGTCACACTTTCACCAGCTCTTATTCTCCCCAGCTGAATTGTATGTTTTGTTTTGGGTTTTTTTGCATTTCACTCCTAAAAATTCATTTAGTGCTAAAATGAACATCCACAAAAGAAGTACTGCTGGCTTATCTCGTTTCATTAGAAGGCTATCCACTCACAGAGCAACCCTAGCAGAAAGACATGGTCTCAAGCTGCAAATCACAGAGGATTTGGTCACACTTTCACCAGATCTTATTCTCACCCGGTTGAATTATGTGTTTTGTTTTGGTTTTTTTTGCATTTCACTCCTAAAAGTTCATTTAGTGCTAAAATGAACATCCACGAAAGAAGTACTGCTGGCTTATCTCGTTTCATTAGAAGGCTATCCACTCACAGAGCAACCCTAGCAGAAAGACATGGTCTCAAGCTGCAAATCACAGAGGAAAAAGCTGCCTGGCTCACATGTACCATGTTTTCTTTACGGTGTAGTGGAAAATGAACCCTTTTTCCTAATCCCAAATCCTAATCCAGGCAAAGATGCGCTAACACCCCCTACAAGCCCAGCAGAGGGTGCTGAGCCATGCCAGCTCCAGCTCCCCGCCATCTTGCAATGGGCAATGAGAAAGAAGATTTGTTGCAAAGATTTTTAGCGCTAACATGCAGCAAGCTGCACAAAAGTCAGAGCTCCCGCTGGAGAGGTTGTGTTACTGCATGCACGTAAGCAACAGCATAAGCTGCATGCGTATAAGCATCTGGCAAGCACCCTCCGGACTACTTGACACTCTGAGTTCAGCCTATTTCTGCAGTTTGTATTGAAGAGGGACAGCAGAGTCTGGCCAAACCAGGCAGGAAAGGATTGTCTCCTAGACTGAGACCACTCTGGCCACATAAATACGTTCAGTTGCACAACACAAATGATGTTTGTTCAGTAAGGCATTGCTAGAAAAACCCTGTAATACACGAGAGGTGTATGACACTTAGTTTACATGCAGAGGCATGAGCAACAGTCCTGTAGGAACATAGCCAAACCATAACACCATGCGTACATGGTCAGCGTACATCCCCTCTGGAGGGGGTATAAAGGAAGAAACAGCTCTTACGTGAATCAAGCCCAGATGTAAACACTGGCTTGGTGGATGGTTGAATAATGCACGGAGAAACCTGGGGATCGGGTCTCTAGATATGCCCCTAGTTTGTTCATACCAATTTAAAGCATGGGCTCTCCTATGAAAAGGTCTCTCTGTTTCCCATTTTGCAAATGACAAGTCACTGCTCATGTTAATATTCAGGATTTGTGTGGAGTGAGTATGAAATGCCATCCAGTTTGGTTTGCGTGCTTAATTACCAGTCTAAACGATCACGACAGCAGCTGAGTTGTAGAGATGATGGATCAGGCCTGACACATAAACTGTTTTGGTGCTCTGTTTGACCGATTTTATAGGTAACCTTCACAAAAGATCTTGTGTATAAACTTACAACCAACAGACCCTAGCATGTAAACACTCTTTACTAGAGTTAGTCTTGAGGAAAGCATCTGATGTGAATTCCTTGTGACCATCAATTGCCGAAGGGCTCTGATAAAAAAAAGCAAATTCTAAGTCGGATGACTAGATTTTCACGGCGCTTATATCATGTGGCATGGCATGGCAGAGCAGGCTGTAGG